GTCATGGTCATGGTCATGATGTTGATGATGACGCTGATGGTGGTCGTGTTAGTGATGGTCATTATGATGATCATGATGCTGTTGATGGTGATAGTCATGGTCATGGTCATGATGGTGATGATGACGCTGATGACGCTGATGGTGGTAGTGATGATGGGCAGTAGTGATGAACATGGTTACGATGAAGATGATTACGATAGTGGCTGTGATTGATAATTATGATTTTGTTCATAATGATGATGGTGATAGTGAAAGTGATGGTCATGATGTTGATAATGATGCTGCTGATGATGATGATGGTTATCATGAAGATGATCATGATAATGATTATGATTGATGATAATGATCATCGTTACAACCAGGTTTTTTTTGCTCTACCCAAATGCGCCACACCTTTCCTTAAACATTTGTAATGCAAAATAATATATTCTCAAACATACTTTATATTCCCCTCCTTTCTTCTCTTTCTTCAGAACGTTTTTAAGATGAACATCGAAGACTTTAACAAATTACCCGGCTGGAAACAGCACAACCTAAAGAAATTAGTAGGTCTTTTCTAGACCACCCCAGATGTTTTAAAAGCAGGGYCGTATATACATATAGCAGAAATTATTTTATCCGTGTTTACATATCTCAGATGGAAGTTTCATTGGTCTGGAACATCGTGTGATATATCTGTACAGGCATAAAGAATTATTTATTAATAGATCAGATTACAGACAGGTAGGAGATATTTACAACCAAATGTATTGGATATTTACAAGCATTGTGATTGGTTTAAATAGATCATCGTGCATTTTGATTGGTTAAGAAAAGAAGACAGTTGAGTGCAGGCATTGTAAGTTGTTTAGATAGATCTTCGCGCTTTTTTGGTTGGTGCTGAAAAGGAGGCATCTTAGTACAAGTTTTGTGAGTGKTTGTGTGGCTGAGAAGGAAAGCCAGTTGAATGCAAGCATTGTGATTGGTTTAYATAGGTCTTCGTGCTTTTGATTGGTCAAACAGAGAAGCCATTTGAGTGCAATAATTTTGATTGGTTGTGATAAATCTTCTCGCTTTTGGATTGGTTCTCAAARAGAAAGCAGTTGAGTGCAAGCATTGTGATTGGTTGAAATAGGTCTTCGCACTTTTGATTGTTTGAGAAGAGCAACCAGTCGAGTGTAAGCTTCGTGATTGTTTATGATAAATCTTCTCACCTTTTGAGTGAAGGTAGAGAGGCAAGTTGAGTCCAAGCATTGTGATTGCCTTAAATAGGACTTAGCTCTTTTTGTTTGGTTGAATCACGTGCCAGGTGTGATAAAAGTTATTTTTCGCCATTTTGATTGGCACGGTATGAAAAAAAGAAACTAAGCAAGGACTAATCTTTTTATTGTTATTATATTATTTTATATATCTTTAATCTTCCAATCCAACAAACATGCCGGTTATGACCTACCAGAATTAATAATTTATTATATTGAATTTGTTTGTGTTCTGTACAACTTTAGACGTATATTTGGTCGTTTGTTTTGTTCTGAAATTGTTGGTCATCTATAACCCCTATTCACATTAGTTTGTTACAGTACTGCGAAGGGTTACCTTTTCCAAATTTGCTTGAGTGACCACGAAACAATGGCCCCAAGTCGAGATTGGACTTGAAGTGTTCATACATTTACCGTATTTTATCAAGTCCAACAAGAAAATCAATCAGAAAATGATCAAGTTTGCTGGTCAAACCTGATGCTTTATGAATTGTACAATATTATAAAATCACAAATGTTGGTGAATTATGATTTTMATGACGAGAATTACAACAATGAATATAATAATTATGTAGATTTTGATTACATGAATAAAGTATATACATCTTATCTTAACAGCTTATGTGCGCAGAGAGATAGAGTCAGGGTCGCACTTAAYCCATGAAGTGGCTGCCCTGCTTGTAAAGGTCATTTTCAGCCCTCTGTAAAGCCTGCCGCTCAGTCCTGCGGAGGGCTGGAAGAAAAATATGTGCTCGCAGGGTAAGAGGTAGCTAGTTTATCAGATCGAAGCTAATTCTGATATTTACGAATAATTATTAAAAGTTTTCTGGTTTTACGTTCGATTTTTTACCACTGAATCGATATGATGCTTTGTTCCAGGTTTGTGTGTGTGTTTT